GGTCGATTTGCCCCAGGTATACCAGATGTTATTATATTTGAGAGGCTGCAATTATAATAACCAACAAAATTGTAATAAAAATTATTATATTTGTGAGGCTGTAAATATAATAATTTAAAAAGAAAATAATGTATGTAAAGTTATTTCTTCCCTTATAATAAGAAAAAAGTATTGAATTTGAATATTTATTTTTGAATAAACTGTTTACTTCTCTTTATAATATACAAAGCTAAATTATATTAGTGTTTTATTTAGTAAAAAATAATTAAAAACTGTTATAAATAAAATGGATTTATTATTTATAATAGTAGATACAGTCACAACACATCCATCAAAGAAAAGAATACTATTTCATATTAGAGACAATAAATTAAAGTCAAAAACACGGAATTATGCTATGTACTTATTGTAATTACAGTATGACAGTACAATTTAAAAACTGATTAGGGCAACATCTATATTAACGAGTTAACGCTGTTTTAATACAACGTTTACTGCTTATCATGTTGTTCATATAGATTTTGAAATTGGGCAGCCAAGATTTTAAGCCACAAAGCAAAGAATCAAATAGTACTGTCTGCAAGACTACCAGTGAATGCTAAATATACAGTTATTAATAGAAGGATCCATTGTAATACTTAATTTACAATAAAATGCATTTAGGTAAATAATTTAAGTGGTGGCACATTGTACGCGTTGTCCGCCGGAACCTTGCATATCATCGTCTTCATCGTACGCATTTCTGTGACTGCGTCTCCTGGATTCTTCTTCGGGATTAAATTCCATCAAAATGCATTCTTCAGCTTGGTCTGGAATCATAACTTCGGGTCTTGGCGGCAAAGCGTTCTCGAGTGCGACGAGGTTTTCGGCTGGAATGGTTTTTGGGAATTTGACCATAAATTGGACGATTAAACGACCTTTTTCGAAAGGATTCTTGTACTGTGGCATACCCTCGTTCATAATACATTTCACGTCGCCGTTTTTAATTATCTCACCAGGAAGGGTGGTTATCAGCAAATCGCGATCGTCTAAAGTTCTAATGATCTTCTGGAATCCACATAAAGCTTCGACTAACTCGATTTCTAGTCTCAAGATAAGATCGTTTCCAGAGCGTTTGTAAAGGGAATGCTCTTTCTCATCCAACAGGATGATGATATCGCCAGCTTCCAATTCGGGTTCCTGATCACCCTCACCGTTAAAAACAATCTTTTGGCCATCAGCCATACCCTTGTCAACGTGCACTTCAAGAATTTTTCTATCCCTAACCACCTTTTTGCCGTTGCAGTTTTTGCAGCGGTCTTTGGGGTTGATACGCTCGCCCTGACCTCTGCATTCAGGGCACACAGTCTGAATTTGTTGGACCATACCTGTAATAAAGATAACGTTGAAAATATTTTTGGTTTTGGCAGAATTTTGAGTAGGTATTACTTTTAATTGCATATTTAGTAGGGCCAAAAAATTAAAAACTCGAAATTGGAATTGTAATATGGGCAAAAATTGTATGACGTCTTTTGACCTATACCAGGACCCAAAAATTTGAAAAAAAAATTAATTTGAAATTTTGATTTGGATATATCTAAGATTGAGATTTTGAGTTTGATATTGCTAAGACAATTTTTATTTACTGAGCATCAGATTTTTAAAAAATTGTACAAAACAATTTTTTTAACCGCATTTTTCATGGCCCCTTCAACCTTCCTCATACGTTATTTCTTGTTCAAGAAAAACAAGCAGATCTTTTTCCGGTTCCAGCATCATCTTCCTTTGAAATAATTTTTTTAAATAATTTAACGCAAACGTAGAAACTAGTGACGAATGTCAATTATTACTTCTATCAGAAAAGTTTTTAGTAATATTAACCTAAATTTTATCGCTACACGACAATAATTGACCATAATTATTAAGGTTTGATTACAGCCCACTATAAATCAATAATAATTATTGCATTTTACCTACAAATCCATGGTAATTTATAAAAATAACGTCAGTTTTTATTTCAATCTGACACGTTTTTGCAAAAAGCAATTGAAATAGTATATTATGTATCAAGTTTTATAAACGCCATTTTAGATACGAGTTTAATTAAGCACGAGCGAAGCTTGCGAGCGAGTGTTTAATAAAAACGAGTGTCTAGAGAAGTTTATAAACGAGTTGCATACTATACTTTATCTACGACGAACACAAAACAGAATTTAAAGCCAATTTTATTTGTTAAATATTTGACATCTGTCAATTGTCACCCGAATTTAACCTCACTTTTTCCCAATTTATAATAAAGCTAACTTCAGCCTGTGGCATAAAATGTCGAAAAGCCACTATTGTTAACTTCAGCCCATCAATAAAACGCCATAAAGTCACAGCTCGTCAATGTAGGAGTAGATAAAGTTATTTATTGCATATTTATTAAAAAATAAATACAAACTAACAATATTTTGTTAAATTAAAATAGAAGGTTTTAAAACAGTATTGATTAAATATTATAATTAAACCAAACTTGATACATACAATAATACAAACTGCACATTGCAACTATAATTTTTTGATTCTAAAACGCTGAAATATAGAAGGCTTGGCAACCCTACTACTTTGTTTATGAATAATAATAATAATAATAATAGTTATTTATTGATTATCATAATTATAAAAATAACAACAATCAAAAGGCCATTGACCTAGGTCCTTCAGCCAAGGTTAATTAAAATATAAATGTAATGTATTTGCACGTGTTAGAAACCAAAATTGAAATTAGATAGAGTGCAAAAAACAAAAAAAAAAAAAAAAAACATAGTATTGTGTATGTAAAGAAAAAATTAGATATATGTATATATATGTATATGTGTTCATTCGTCAGCTAGAGCTTGCATTTCTTCAACCAGGGATCTTGTAGGATGTTTGATTCGGGTGGGAGCTCTCTCTAGGTCTCTTGGAATCAGTACCGGTGCCAGAAACTGGTAAGCGGCTTCTCTCTGGGCAAAGTTGGTGGATAGTTTTATTAATCTCGCAGAAATTGGGCTGATTTTAAATTTTTCATAAAGGAGGGTGTTGGGAGGGTTGTGGAGTGGATGTTTATGAATATTTATTGATTTTTTGGAAAGTAAAGCCTGATTTATTTTTGACAGTTGTAAAATGTTTTTTCTCCTTTTTACAATTATTGTTAAATTCGGTTTATAACAGGGTCTTGAGCTAAGGAAGGCTATGCCAAATTTTTTCACAATTTTAATTTTGCAATAGCAAAGTAGAGTTTGGCAATGGTACAAGTATCACACTAACTCATTGCAACACAAATTTTTCATACCATTTTGTCTATTTTGACCATAATTTATCAATAAAATTAAATAAATAAAAAAAACAAGTAGGTTAATTCATTTTACTAAGTTGGCACAACAAATGATAAATCTCAAAATTAAATATTTATTGTCAGTCAAAATAAAACGTCAAATTTTTTATTGCCTATTTCAATTCTTTTAAGAGCTAGACACAGTTTAAATTTTTCTAATAGTTTTATTCACATTTTATAATATAATCGTTGAAATGAAAACTAAAAGGGTTGCCAACAGTCTGAAACAAAAAATCCCTAATTTTGATGCTTCTAAGCTTAACGAGCTTACTCCCAACGTAGCATTAAAATAGACAAATATTTTTAATGTAATGGAGTATAACAGAAGTAGGCATAGTTAAATTTAACCTGCCTATTAATTAAATAAATTATTTAGATTTGCCACATATGGGTTTTATTCAAACTACCCTAAAATTCCCACTTAAGATATATATATTTATTAGAATTCTATTGGGTTTATAATGATTATGACTAGTTTTATGCTAATCATATTAATCATTTGCATTATGATAAAGCAATAAAAAAACTACATACCTGGAGCAATTTGTTGAATCTGGACATGCATCCCACTACCATGACATGTTGGACATTGTTCTACAGCTCCCTTTTTTCCACCCCTGCCTTCACATTTATCACAGATAATATTCTTTTGAAGTGCTAGTTTTCTTACAGTTCCCTTGTACAGTTCCTCAAGAGTGACACTGAGTTGATGAATAACATCCTTGCCCCTACGTTCTCTTCTTCTGCCTCTTGATCCTCCCATGCCACTACCGTTGAAGAACATGTCAAAGAGGTCCATAGGGCTATGGAAACCACCTCCAGTACCGCCTTCTTTAAGGGCTTGTTCGCCACCCTGGTCGTAAATACGTTTTTTCTCAGGGTCTGACAGCACCTCGTAGGCCTGGGAAATTTGCTTGAACTTTTCTCCCTCATTTGGATTTTTGTCCGGATGATATTTTAAAGCTTGCTTGCGGTAAGCTTTCTTTAAATCATCAGCTGAACAACCAGGTTTGACACCTAAAATGTCATAGAACTTGGTTTCTTTCACCATTTTGTTGAGCTAATCACGTTCTGCAAATTCAAACAAAAAACATCATGCACTTCCTTGTTAAAAATAATCTATATAATTTACTTACCTCAGAAATAATCAATACTTCTAAAAGCACAATCAACTGAAGGCGCACAAAAGATCACACACGTGTCAAGTGTAAAACGATAAATGAAACCGTAAATCGAGAATGGTTCTTTACAAAGGCTATTTCACTACAGCTATATTCTAGAATATTCGAATAACCGAAGGTGAAGGATTCAACGTGTTAAAGCAGGAAAAGCTCACGCAGAAAGGGATAGGAATAAGTCTAGAAAACTCTTCAAAACGTCACAATGACAAAAACACACAGAGCACTCTATTAGTTAAATTTTATACTAAAAATAATAAAATACGAGTAATATAATTTATAACCATTTATTTCCTGATTATATGTATATTTAACTGATTAATGCATTAATTCCAAACTATATTATAACTATAATCAAATTAAAGAAAATTACGTAATTACAGTTTTCTTCTTTTTAAACATATGGTGCTGTCAAAAAACATAACCTAACATATTTGTTTACCACAGTCAACAGACCAGAAATTTACGTTTTTAAATTTAAAAACATGAATCAAGAAACGGCTAAGAAACTGGTACAGGAAGGTGGATTGTTTATATTTTTAAATGTTCCTGAAGGAACTGAGTTTGGGATTGACATGAAATCATGGAATACCGGGGAAAAATTTAGAGGTGTTAAAATGATTCCGCCCGGAGTTCATTATATATTTTATAGCGCAACTAGTAACACTGGTGACATAGCGCCCAGGACTGGTTTTTTTCATAACTTTAGGAAATCGGAAATTTTGGTGAAAAAATGGGACAGTCAACTTGAAGATATTAGCCAGGAAGAAGTTTCGCAGGAGGAAATTGTAAGGCTCAAAGATAACATTAAGGCTTTGGATGGATTCTTAGGGCCATACCCTTTTGATATACTAGACAAATGGAATAACTTGTGTGGGAATATCAATGGTAAGTTATAACATTTATTTTAAAGATAGAAAATGCAATTTATAGTAGTTAGGTATATGCTTAATAACTGGGGGCTGTAGAATAAAATGGGGATAAGTGCAGCTGCCCTGTTAAGCAAAAATGACTTATGTACAATATTAAGTAATTTGTCCTTTACTACTTGGGCTGCACTTATTTATATCCATTCTATTCTAAGGCCCCTTAATTTATATCTTTTAGATGATTTAATAAAAATATTAACACCTCTAAGTGGTAAAGTAAGGTCAGCTCTGGAATTACAGTCTTGTTCAAATGCTGATAGACCTAAAGGCGTTAAAAAAAACCCAAATGATGCAGAAACAAGTTCTGGTTCTAGTCCTAAAAAGTCAAGATTATCAAATGACACAGAACATAATTTTCTCCCAGATTTAAAACCAATAGAAGGAACTGAATTAAGATTAACTGAATTTCCTAAAAAAAATTACCCAGATGGTGCAACTCCTTCAGAAATAACAAAACATTCTTTAGATTCAACTTATGTTTTGGATATGATGGTTTCAAAATTAAGTGATCCCGTGAACATAATAGGTGAATTGGAATTTTGTTATATTTGTTTTTTGGTTGGACATAGTTTAGAAGCTTTTGAACATTGGAAGAAACTGTTTTCTTTATTTTGTTCATGTGAATCAGGAATAAAAAAGTACAGAAAATTATATGATCTATTTTTTTCTGATATTTCTATACAAATAAAAGAAATCCCTGAAGAATTTTTGGCTGATATAGTGGCTAATAAAAACTTTGTGTATGTTAAACTTAAAAATTTATTTAATGTTATTAAAAGCTCAGATTTGGATGGGCAATTAAAAATGAAAGTGGAGAGGTTTCAAAAAGAATTAACTGATACATATTATTGGGATTTTCAACATTTAGAATCTGATGAAGAGGATGAGGCACCTGTTATTGTAGAAATCTAGTAATAAGTAATAAAGAAATTCTTTAAAAGAATACCAAACAAATACAACCAATGATATTTTTTTTAACCCTGTGCTCAAACCTCTTTAAAAACAAGCCTAAACATAATTACAAATGTTTTACAGTATATTATGTATAGAAATGTTTGACATTCTTTAAACAGAGGAAGTATCAAAATAATCGTTTTAGGAATGAAAACGGGCTATATTTAATGAGGTTTGATTAAAAACCAGAAAAAGAATAAAAATATATATTTTTTGTTAACTTTAACTGATGGCCGAAATTTTACTACTCCCACCAGTGGGCATTTCGCCCATGGGCTGATGTTAACTTTAAGCACAATTTGGAAAAAAGCAAGGTTGGCAGGATATATATCAGTGATAAATATCCTGATATATATCTTGATAAATATCCGATATTTATGGCATAAATATATAAATTTTATGCGATGATATATATCAAATTTTTTTTTCTAAAATTTTATTCATCACTAATGAATCATTAGTAATGATAGAAATTTAAAATTTCCGGAAAAATTGAGTGTCGGAAAAAACCCTGTTTTTTTCCCAAGAAAAATTGCTAGAATTCAAAAAACTTGTTATTGTGATAGCAACTTTCATTGAATAGAATAGAATTGAAATACAAATTTACATGTTTATAAAATTTTAATTACCTATATTAAATTAAGTAATTTTGAATTTTAAACATATATCTTTAATTCTCTAAGCAGAAAATAGTTATAATAAAAAAGAAATAAATATCCAAATTTTGTATATCGGATATATATCGATATATATCCGATATTTGGATATTTATATAAATATCACGATATTTGCCAGCCCTGGAAAAAAGCTTAAAACTAATTAACAGCTGTTGGAGATTCCACTCGCGTAGACCCCAAAATTCCCTGCACATGTCAGGAATATTCCCAGGATTATTCCAAGCATACCAGAATATTCACAGGAATATTCCTGGCGTAATCAAATGTCCGCTTTTGGTTAACCCAGTCATCATAAAAAGAATATTCTATGTAGCGGCATGCATAAGACTTAAGTATTATTAGGAGAATGTACCGGGTCTACAATTGTCGCAAATCGCAGAATATAAGCTTGCGCAAAGCACCCAGCTGACAAAAGAACCTTGCTCCATCGCCACGTCGCGGGGTCCTTTTCGCAAGCTTATGTTCTGCGATCGGACCCCTGCGACAATTGTAGACCCGTCTTAATATAATTTGGGGATTAGTCCCTTATGGCCACTTATACCCAGGAACTTAACTTAACTAGCCATTATTAGTTACTCTATAGATCAGTCCCACTCTAATCATATTAATATGATTAGAGTGGGACTGATCTATAGAGTAACTAATAATGGCTAGTTAAGTTAAGTTCCTGGGTATAAGTGGCCATAAGGGACTAATCCCCAAATTATATTAAGACGGGTTACAATTGTAACGTTTTTACTGTTCGTAGTGTGAATTAAAACACGCAATGGTTTATTAACGAACTAAACTATTTATTTTTATAACTTAACTACACTTAAAACACTATAAAACTAACTAAACACTTAACTGATAATTATTTATATCACTACTAGTTTATTTATTTGCACTTATATTTATTTATTTCTTCGCGCGTACCAAAGCTCCACTGACTGCTCTGTGATGCGTCGTTCCTTATATATTACAGCGCCTACGTCCTCTAGAACATTCCAGCGAGCTCCACACTCTCGATTATTCGAGCGCTGAGTCACCGACTCATCGGCGATGAGTCATCATTCCGAGATCCAGAGCCGTACTTGCTACATTGCCCCCTTCTTAAAACATTTTCGTCCCGAAAATGGTCCTCAGCTCCATGGCGATATTTGCATAGAGATCCAAACTTGCATTGTGACGTCCTATAGAAGTAACAGTCTACGGTCTTCCTACCGGTTGTTCTTTTAGGGTTGTGGCAACAGACAAGAATGTGTAGATATGCCACTAAATCTGAAGATAACTTCCACCATACTTTTAATTATTCTCCAGTCCAAACCGTCAAGTCCACAAGCAATCTTTGGTATCGCCAGGTTCATGATGTCCTTGGACAAAAGGGTATCCCTTAATTTATTTAAGACATTCCATACGTCACGGTAGTTTGGCTTCTGATGGGAGAGCTGCTTCGTTACCAGATAGAAAATACTTCTGTTGCCTTTCTGCTCATTATTCACAATTTCAAGCACCTCTCCAACTTTGGGATTCTGCCTTCGTAGCTCGTCGACCCGTCCAAACTTGTTTTTAAAGACAACCGCTATTCCCCTGGACATCCTTAGGTCTTCTGCAACACAGTGAGCCAAGGAGTAATCGGCCGAAACCGTGAATAGATCTTGTTGTTCTTCTCGAGTGACACCATAGCGAGCTTTTTTACCGCTCGAATATAAATACATGAAGTCTTCAAAAAGCAATTCGTCTTCCGGAGGATTAACTCGCCTTACTCTAGCATGGTTAATTTGGTCATCATTGTTTCCAGCGTAAGAAGCCAATCGGTTAAAATGGATCACATTCGGCTTTCCTCTTGGTTGTTTTCTGATCCTGTAGATGATGTCATTTATGCGATCCATGACTTCGTATGGTCCTTCCCAAGAAGTCTGCAGCTTCGGTGAATAACCACGACGGCGCTGAGGGTTGTATAACCACCCTGCTGAAAATGACGGATGATTGCGGATATAAATTCTTCGTCAAAACCGGATAAAAGCAGATGATTGCGGGTGTAAATTCTTCGTCGAAGCCGGATAAAAGCAGATAAAAGCGGGTAAAAATATCATCTGATAACATCTGCTTTTGTCCGCATCGCTATATCCGCGAACACCCGGTTGGTTGTGTTTTATGTCCGGTTAGTGCACCCCCGCAATCATCTGCAATCATCTGTTTTTAACCGTCTTCACTGTGTTTCGTTTGTATCTGAATTTGTCCGGAATCATCTGCAAACTTCTGCTTACGTCTGTTTTTATCCGCGATTACCTGCATTTTTTTTCGTCTATTTTTGTCGGGTTTTATATGCAAACGTCTGGTTTTATCCGCGAGCATATGCTTTTACCCGCGAACATCTGCAATCATCCGCGAACATCTGCTTTCATCCGCGAACATCTGATTTTATCCGCCAACATCTGCTTTTAACCGCGAACATCTGCTTTTCTCCGCGAACATCTGCAGTCACCCGCGAACAACTGCTTTTATCCGCGAACATCTGCAATCACCCGCGAACATCTGCAATCACCCGCGAACATCTGCTTTCATCCGCAAACGTCTAGTTTTATCCGCAAACATCTGTTTTCATACGGTTTCACCCACAAACATGCTTTTATCTGCGAACGCCTGATTTCAACCGGTTAGTGCACCCCCGCAATCTGCGCGAACATCTGCAATCACCCGCGAACATCTGATTTTATCCGCGAACATCTGTTTTTATCCGCAAACATCTGCTTTCATCCGCGAACATCTGCAGTCACCCGCGAACAACTGCTTTTATCCGCGAACATCTGCAATCACCCGCAAACAACTGCAATCACCCGCAAACATCTACTTTTATCCGCAAACATCTGCTTTCATCCGCGAACATCTGCTTTTATCCGCGAACATCTCATTTTATCCGCGAACATCTGCAATCATCCGCGAACATCTGCTTTTATCCGCAAACATCTCAATTTATCCGCGAACATCTGCTTTTATCCGCAAACATCTGCTTTCATCCCCAAACATTTGCTTTTATCTGCAAACATCTGATTTTATCCGCAAATATCTGCTTTTATCCGCGAACATCTGCTTTTATCCGCAAACATCTCAATTTATCCGCGAATTCGCGGATGTTTGCGAATAAAAGCAGATGTTAACATCTGCTTTTATCCGCAAACATCTGCTTTCATCCCCAAACATTTGATTTTATCTGCAAACATCTGATTTTATCCGCAAATATCTGCTTTTATCCGCGAACATCTGCTTTTATCCGCAAACATCTCATTTTATCCGCGAACATCTGCTTTTATCCGCAAACATCTGCTTTCATCCCCAAACATTTGCTTTTATCCGCAAACATCTGGTTTCATACGCTTTCACCCGTAAACATGCTTTTATCTGCGAACGCCTTATTTCATCCGGTTAGTGCACCCCCGCAAACATCTGCCTTTATCCGCAAACATCTGATTTTATTTGCAAACATCTTCTTTTATCCGCAAACATCTGATTTTACCCACAAACAACTGATTTTATTCGCAAACATCTGATTTTATCCGCAAACATCTGCTTTTATCCGCAAACATCTGCTTTTATCCGCAAACATCTGCTTTTATCCGCAAACATCTGATTTTATCCGCAAACATCTGATTTTAATCGCAAACATCTGATTTTATCCGCAAACATCTGCATTTATCCGCAAATATCTGCTTTTATCCGCGAACATCTCCAAACATCTGCTTTTAATTGCAAATCTCTGCTTTCATCCGCGTTCGGTTTGCCTGTATTTACTTTGTCCATTTCGGTCCTGTTTCGTACACAAACGTCTGGTTTCATTCGCGCTTTTTGTTTTTCTTTTTCTCGTGTATACTTTAGTTAAGTTTACCTGCTTTGTCAAATTTTACTGAGCTTTAACTAACTGGTTGTTAGCCGTTCACGGCACACAACTTTATAACTCTAAAAAGAATTATTTGAATAAAAACAACCTGTAAAGAAAATAAGTTTATTCAACATGACATTTTCCCAATGGAAAAATAATTTAATTATATTCACCAGATTTAAATTTAAAAATCAGGTATACTATAGTGAAGAGTACCACAGAAATAATAAGTCTATTAATTCTTACATATATATTAAAAATATTGGTTATGCCAAAATTAAAAAGTTTTTAAAGTTAGATGAAAAATTCTACGCCTAAATAAGTGTTTTTCAAACAAATTTCATACAAATTGAAGATGTTATAATTCCAAATGTATTTGAAATTAAACATATATGTTTTCTAACAATTAATTTAAATGTAAG